ATGATAAAGGAAATTAGAAAAAATATATATTTATACAAAAAAAAATAACAAATATTTTAGAATTAACAATATGAACTTTTAATTATTCACGTTTCACATGAATGATTACAAAAAGTGATCTTTTTCTAATGTAAATCATGCGACAGATTTCTATCCGCATTGCACACTCAGGCAGAGGACTTGACTCTAATATATATTGCAAACCTTCATATCTTCCACATAGCATAAGAATTGGATCTCGCCAACAGATTTCAATACACGAATACTCAAAAAACTCTTCCTTGTCTACAGCACAATGCCGTGTAGGAAGAGCGTATTGTCCTTAGGGAACCTCTGTGTTCTGAGCATCACCCAGCTGCTGGTAGATGTCATTCATCTGAGCAGTGAGGAGAGACAAGAGAAGGCAAAGTGCAATGACCAGCAAGAGAAATCAACAGGTGTGAGTGACCAGTCCTCAGATGCCAGTCAGAAGCAGGAAGAAGCAACAGGTGCAGCTCAGCAGAATGACACCTCAACAAGTGCGACTGTGGAGGAACAGGTGTGTGTGTTGTTCTTTCCTTTTCTGTATAATAGGCAGGAAATCTCGCTCTGTTTAGGGAAGACACTTTTTTTCGTGTTGATTCTAAATGGGTCTGTATACCCCTGATTATTTGTATGGGAATCGACATTCAAGTTAATAGCTTACTATAGTCTTATTTCATCCTTAGAGGTATTTGATGGAAAGGATAGAAACAAAAGAATTTATAAATCTTAGAGTAAAGTAATGGGTTGGCAATTGTTGACATGCCATCACATCATGGCAAATAATCATAGAGATTGGATAATAACTAATCATGCTAGTCTCCAGCTGACTTCACAGAAAGTTTTACCCATCCTTATTGGGTTATTGAAAGAAAATCCCAAACTCAAAAAGGTGAAATCGAATTACTCATTGAAATGTTCATTTTAATTGTCACTTTTTGTGTCTTCCTCTCCTGTCTTCTGTCTTCATCCATAATTTCTCAGAGAATCCTTGAGAAGCTTTTCACAGCAGCCCATTCCAAAAAAACAAGTTCATTGTTTTAGGATTGTTCAGTATGATATAACAGGGTAAAAACAGGAAATAACATTTCTTTAAGAACTAAATATGGGGCTTCTTTTGAACAAACAATAAAATACATTCTTACAAAAAAGATGTGATTTGAATTGAAAATATAGTCTATTGTGGGTACATCAGTGGAAAATGGATTACATAAGGTAGATTTTTATATTTTCCTTATATTTTTATATTTTTCTCCCTCTTTGTTTTAATATGTCATCAAAATTTTTGTATATATATTTAAAACATTTTACAAAATCATAATAATCTCTTTATAGCAATACAGGTCTACGAATGCCTAAAATTATCAAAGAGTAAGGAATTGAGATGTATTCAGGGTGTATCATACATAGACTTTTAATCCCTTTTCTTTTTCATTTAGTCTTTCTTTCTCTTTCTTCCTTTCTGTCTTTCTCTTTCTTCCTTTCTTTCTTTCTCTTCCTTCCTTTCTTTCTCTGCATTTCTTCCTTTCTCTCTTTGTATTTCTTCCTTTCTGTCTTTCTCTTTCTTCCTTTCTTTCTTTCTCTTCCTTCCTTTCTTTCTCTGCATTTCTTCCTTTCTCTCTTTGTATTTCTTCCTTTCTGTCTTTCTCTTTCTTCCTTTCTGTCTTTCTCTTTCTTCCTTTGTCTTTCTCTTTCTTCCTTTCTTTCTTTGTATTTCCTCCTTTCTTTCTCTGTATTTCTTCCTTTTCTCTCTTTGTATTTCTTCCTTTCTTTCTTTGTATTTCTTCCTTTCTTTCTTTCTCTTTCTTCCTTTTTGTCTTTCTCTTCCTTCCTTTCTTTCTCTACATTTCTTCCTTTCTCTGCATTTCTTCCTTTCTCTCTTTATATTTCTTTCTTTCTCTTTCTTCCTTTCTTTCTTTCTCTTTCTTCCTTTCTTTCTTTCTCTTTCTTCCTTTCTTTCTCTGCATTTCTTCCTTTCTCTCCTTGTATTTCTTTCTTTCTTTCTCACTGGTTTTACTCCCCTTCAGGTTCAAATCCAGAATACCACAGAAGAGAAAGCCCATGCAGAAGGAACAGCTGAGGAGCCAGGGCAGCCAGATATGTGTAACCATGACGATTCGATAAATCAGGTGCAGGAAGCGGAGGAGAAGAGCAGTGACGAGAAGAGAGAAGAGAAGGAGAAGAGAGAGGAGAAGGAGCAGAAAGATGAAAAGGTAGAGAAGGGCAGTACAGAGAGTGATAACAGAAGAGAGAAGGAAAATGATAGCCATAGTGGTGGTTCTCCAGAGGATATGAGGGAAAGTGAGTATAATTTTCCTCTTCTTCTTCTTCTTCTTCTTGTTCTTCTTCTTCTTCATGCAAGAAAGTAAGATTAGTCTTCATCTTCTTTTTCTTCTTCTTCTTCTTCAGCTTCTTCTTCTTCTTCTTCTTCTTCTTCTTCTTCTTCTTCTTTTATTTATCTTCCAAAGAGTGATATCAGTTTTATGTCTTTCAAGCAAAATAGTATTAAGTAATAGTAACTCTAGTCATATGCCTGTGGGCTAGTTACATGATATTTAAGATTGATAATGTTTTCAGCTATAAGGCAATACATTTAATGTAATTATAATATGTATTTGCATTTTATTACCCAGCATTCTTCCCTTGAGTCAATTTTTTTCATTTCATAAATGATATGAAAAAAAGTTTTTTTTTTTTATTATACCAGCATTTAAATCAGTTGAATTTCACACATACACAAAAAATTACATTCTAGAACAAATTTCTTAGGCTTACTTTCTGTCCATGTATGTTTAATTCTTATCTTTTGTCTCCTCGTCAAAAGGACTAGAGACACTAAGACAGGAGTTGGGCGTGCAGTTGACATCCCACTCTCACGTCATGCTGCACGAACTCCTCTTCTCGAACATCATAACACGCCTGGACCTCCTGTACATGCGGCAGAAGAAGATACGGAAGGCAGTGCAAGACATCCTACCTCACTTTCTCAACTCATCCTTGAGGGAACTCGACTTCGGCAGAACGAAGATGTTCTCGGAGCAGGAGATGTGCAAGGTGCGACTCGTGTGGATGATGTTCTGTGTGGGTGATGTTCAGTTCTTGGGAATTTGCAGAGAAGAGTGATGGGTTGTTTGTGGAGTGAATAGGGAAATATGTTGAAGATCGATATGTATGGTTCATTGTTTAAAAGAGACTTGGTAGTTTAGAATCACTGAAAGGCTAGGAAATATTAAAGAAATAATTATATTCTGAGAGAGATCCAGTAGAGAGAGAGGGAAACATCTCATAGTTTGGTAAGAAAGTAGAATTTGCTTTATGTCATGTATTATGAATTTTGCTTTCTCATTAAAGATGTACCACTGTGGAATACATTCCTACAGAATAAATTACTTTTTCAGGATAATAGTATTATAATAATGTTGTAGAAATTTGTCCTGATTACTAATTGTTTTTCATCATTTACAGATTCTTTTTGATAACCTACACAAGGCTGTAAACCTCAGGAAGTTAATGATTGGACGATCTTGTTATTGGCGGTCAAAGATATTTGAAAACCTGTGCACAAAACTCACACACTTGCCTCACTTGACAGAGTTAGGGATTCAGTATATTTGCACCCCAGAAATGATCAGTGGCCTCTCGGAATCGTGTCCTCAGCTGTGCGAACTAAATTTAAAGGGTTCGGAAAAGATAACAGACCAGCAATGCGAGGAAATAGCCAAGTGCGCAAGCCTCAAGATGCTCGACATCTCCGGGACACGGATCACAGGGAAAGGTTGCTGGAAAATTGTGGAATCCATTAAGAATCTGTCATGGCTGCAGCACTGTGCCTTCAACTGTAACTCTGACTCGCTCCTGTTTGAGTCGAGAGCAGATCTCTTTGACCGGATCAAGGAGCAGCTGATCCACGGTGACGCAACCACGCTCGTGCGGCCAGACCTGAGCACGAGGGACGAGAGATTCAACCTCAAGAACTTCTGGCTCTTTAACCCCCAGACGGAAGACTTGCTCACCTCGGTTCTTTTCCCGCACCTGGAACACATAAGGCTGGATTTCGTGTTTCAAGACATGACGGAGGAGCCTGATGTCTCCATGCTCACCGCGCAGCCGAAGGTAACCAAGATTTGACCTGGTTGATTATGTGTGTTAATTTTGTTTGGTTCTCTCTTTATTCAGTTCTTTATCTCTTATAGTCTTTTTAGGTATAGTAACTACCTTCTAGTGAGGCAGTATCAGCCACCTCCTTAACCCACCTGCCAGTTTGTTATATGTTTATGGGATGAATTTATCTTTTTCCATTAGCAGAACATTAATGACCCAGAATAGATATTTCTATCAAATCCAAATGCCAGTTCCTTCCCTTTTAAATGCTACATAAAGGAACATAATATAATAGTTTTATATTGAGAATGAATGTAACATTATTGATAGCAGCTATCGTTAGCATAGGAGAAAAAAAAATAGAAATAAAAATATATTATATGTTTTATTAAATTACTTGTAATGACTACAGTTATAGGAAATTCTCATTCAGATTCTTCCAGATAACTTAGCACATTGTAGGTTTATATTTTTTCTCTCTCAGTTGAGGTTTTTTGTTCATTTAGGGTGTTATTATTGCCATTTTAAGTCGTCCTTACAACAGATCAGAATGTCCAGGATGGATATAGGATTTTAGATTAATTATTTTTTATTATATTTTAGAACACCATTGATCATTAGAGCATGTTTTTGTAAAGTTTATGATCATTTCATCCAAAAGATATTTGTTTAGGCTTCCATTATATATCAATTCCATTCTTTACTTTCCTTTTTGTAGTAGTTCTCAGTGATGGTGAAGTAAGTAAATATATATTTTTGTGAAGTGCATTAAATACCAAATGAGATTCATTAAAACATTTTTGGCCAAAGAGAGACCTGGGTTCGTCTCCAAATTCATTCGTACAATCTATTTTCTTATTCCTGCTTATCTGTTTTCTTCTTCCTGCCTCACATATTTCAAAACAGTTATAAAGGTACACCACTGGTCCATCTTATAACCGATAGTTCATCAGACAGAATTACTAGGAAATTTAGGTTTACCACTGTCACTAAATAAGGCTGTTGCTTTGTGGAATTTGTCTGTTAATCTAGAAAATAAATAGCATGGATTTATGAGTAGATAAATATGGCTTTGGTTTACATCACAGAGGTTAAAGCTGCTCCATCACTTTGGTAGTCATGGTGTGCAAAGCGGAGTATCTGTTTAGTTTCTGGAGAGTATTAGTATCTGGAGTTTTAGGAGGAGTCACTGGGGAGTATTATTAGGAGTTTCAGGTGGAGTTTTATGGGGATTATTATATTATCATTTTGTGGACCCTGCTGTTTTGGCAGAGTGCATAATCCAGTTTGGTCCCAGAGCCAAAGGTGCCTGAAAGTTGGTGGTGTACCTGTGGTTACTTGGTCACTTGTATGTGGGTCTCTTGATAGCAGTTTTGGATATGTCTTTGCATTTGCCATGTCATATTTGTGATGTTTGTTTTTGCAGAGTAAGAATTGCCAGCAGTATATATCTGTTATGATTTAATCTTAAGATTTTCAGATGTCAGTATTTACCATTCTCTTCATAGGAAGGAACAAAATTTATTGGTTCCATCATTCTGTATTATTATATTGGGCGTTATTTATTTATATACCCTTGCATCAGTATGCTACACAATCATATACTCTGAATATTCATATTGGGTTTATTGCCAAGCATGATACAGATATGAAAATGTTTAAGTCTTAATTTACTGCATCAGGAATCTACATGCATGCTTATTATGAAATCATGAGAAACGTGCTCTGCTGTGCCCATAATTTTTATGCCAGCATCTACTGTGTTTTTATTAGCTTTTATGTGTTCCAGAATACTGATTCAAAAGCCAAGACGTCTCTCATGGGGTTTCTAAATCAAAAGTTTTTTTTTTTTTTTTAGATGTGTAGGACATATTTTATATTTGAGAAGAGTATATATTTTATATTTGACATAGTGTTTTCACTATATGATATTTTGCATAGATTAACCATGCATTGTAACAGAATGATTTTTTAACACATGAAAAATAACAAATTCCACTTGATACATCTTATACAATAACATACAGGGCCTTTGAAACTTTTAAATCTTTATACCGACATTAGTAAGATAATAGTTTTTGGAGCGAAAGTTATATAAGCTGATTTCAAAAGCTTGTTTCTAATTGCTCTGTCTCTCAAACATTTGTATTTTGTCCTCCTCAGCTGAAAAGACTGCAAGCCAACTTGTATGACCGGTGTTCAGTGGACTTGGTGAGACGCATGGTGGAAGCCTGTGGAAGCCAGCTCACTGTGCTAGATCTTCACTTGGCTGACGACTGGTTCTTCGTTGCTGAGGTAGGACTTCAAGGCACTGTCGGGCTGCTGTTTGTACTTGTGGTGTGTGTATCTGTTTACTCATTTGTCTCTTTAGTTGTTTTACTTCAGCAGTATTAGCTTTACTTTGTTTATTTTCAGCTCGATCGGTTGTTAAGAATGGAGAACCTTTTTTTTTACTGTAAGGTCTGTTAATCTGATAATGTTTGTTGTTTTGCAGGCACACAATGTTGTAGCCAGCTGCTGCCCGAATCTTGTGAATCTGACGTTTTCTGGTGACTATAAGGTATTTATTTATAATGTCTGTAATATTTCCAAGTTAGCCAAAGCTGCAAGTTAGAAATATCATCTTTGTCATGCACTTTTGATTCATGAATTGGCCTGGGTGTTCATAATAACAGGATAAGGTGAGACTCTTTCCTTACACTACAGGCCAGGTACAGTCTAGAGGACAGTGACGAGCGGTTAGACATGGGCATTCCAGCTCCAGCCCACCGGCACCTAGAGCACCTCAACCTGACCGGTGTGATCAGTAACCGCCGCCTGAGATTTGTGCTGAGCCACACACCAGCCCTCCGCACCCTACACCTAGACGGGGAGCTAGAGTGGCTGCACGATGCGACCTTCACCTCCATTCTGGAGACCAACCCACTGCCAGATCTTGAGGTTAAACGCTAGCTTTTGAGAGTTGTTGGATGTCGGGTTTTTCTAGGGGTGTTTGCTGGTGATTGGTATCTCATGGTGGTGTTGAAGATTGTTCCCTCTTGATCATTTTTTCCTAGTTTTTTCCTCCCTCAGACCTGTATTATCATTTGAGTTCTTATGACTATATACATCATGATGAGATTACTGCCATGTATAGTGTATATGCTATGAGAAGAGTACACAAACGGGAGAATTTACTTGCAAGAACTTTTAATGGGAATTTAGAAACTAAACTTGATTGTTAGATATAAATTAACTAAATAGAATTTCCCATCAGAGCATGAACACTGACATGTTCACAACATAGTTCCACATATTAGAAAAATTATGAAAAGAATTCAAGTTGCTCTACTCAAAAATTTCTATTTTTCAGGAAGTCTGGTTCAACGTCTCAACCACTGTCACATTAGACACCGTGCGGTTGTTACTATTGCACGAGAACTCTGTACGATGCATTGGACGCTTATGCCACATGGGGGCTGCTACCATGGAGGAGTACCAAGAACTCCTCAGCCTTGTACGAGAGCATAACCTAGACACAAAGTTAATCTGGGTAACAGATGAGCGGGTAAAGTAGATGTTTTAAACAAGGATAAAGGACTTTGTGAGCTAATTTGAAGACCTCAAGTGAACCTTATATCTTTATGTATAGGTAAGCATAATATATGTTTGTATATATGTATATGCTTTGTATTGATATCGAAACAGTGAAAAGTGAGTGGATGACTTGAATGAATGGACTTTCTGGTCATTATTATTTATGCAATTTTATTTTTGTAAAGGCACCTTCCTTTCCCAACCACATTTTCTGCATTAGCCATATGTGTATCCATGAACATGTCTGTTATATTTGCATGAGCTTCTTCATGCATCCAAAGATCAGATTGCTGTTGTATCTGAGGTGTAAAGATAATTCTGACATTATAATAATGTTATTGAGTATTACAATATGAAATATTTTGTATTGAGCTGCATGCATGTACGCTATGCAAGAGAAGTTAAGAATTTTCGAAGGAACTTAAGAAAATATTCATTGGATATTTTTTTTAAGATGTTTCAAAAAAGTTTGTACCTGTATTAGAAACAAAAAGATGTTCAAATTTTCTTTCTTATGGTCCTAAGAAGGAACTTTAGTTTACGTTGTTTTCTTTCATAACATTTTTCCATTTATTTATTTATAAATTTATTTCTTTTGCATTGAAACTAATGACTGTAGGCAAGTTAGACAGATGTTTGTGGTACTACCTTTTGAAAAATTATTGTTCGTTGGTGGGCTTTGTCTATCTTTTCCCAGATGTTAGGTTAGTTGTCTGTTTGTCATCTGGCCGTTTGTACTAATAAAAGTCCCGGAAAGTTGGCTGACAATAATTTCGTAAGTGTCTTACTCCAAATTGAGGCTGTGAGATAACAACAGATCCACGGATTTTTATGCTGTTTTAATTGCTCCTAACAGGATTTTCGTATTTTTGAACATACACGTTTCTTTTCTTTTCTTTTTTCTTTTTTTTTTTTTAATATAACACTGGATTGGATTGGATTCTTGCGCTGAGAAGATAGGAACTGCTGTGGAATACCAGATAATAGTAATTAGATGTTCTGCTAATTTTGCCATTCATGCTCATATTGAACAAACAGGGAAATTTTCAATTACAGTATTATATTCACACGATTATGAAGTGCATTTCGTGTCTGCATATAAAGAGATACTTATTCAAAATGAGGAATAATTATCAAAAGTGAATGCTAAACTCTCTTAGGGCTGTTGTGGTCTCCCTCCGACCATTGCATTCTGCAACGAGATATTAATGTGCCACTTGAACTAACTTAATGCTTGAGTTTAAATCAAGTATTATCTTCTGTAGTTTGGGTAGTTGTACATAGCCTGGATTATAATGAACGAAAGCATGTGTGATTGCAGAAGGAAACTTATTCTGCTGTTTATGTAATACTGATTAAAGTGTATAGGAACATGCAGTGGTAAAAAAAAAAAAAAAAAAAAACTTTTCTTTAGGTGCTGAAAAATTAACTTGTTTGCATTCTCCATAAAAATGCTATTAACCTATTGTTGTCTTGTACTTTCACTGCCCACTATGATTTTGTTTTATTATTTTGTTTACACAATGGCACCACAAGTTCTTAATCACCAAGTTAATTACTAGGCCTGTCAGATCTTACCTGCTTTCCCATTTCTGTGAATTTTGGTGAAAAAGTTATCAGTTATTCTTATTGATGTTATTATTATTATTATTAATCATCATCATCATCATTATTAGGATATAATATTAATACTGATAATAATGAAAACAAGACTGTAAGTGGATGAGGTTAGATTGGCCTAGATATTGAAGTATTGGTAACTGAGTGTTTCTGGAGTCATATGTATGTAAATAAAATAAATAAATAGTGGACAGGTATGTTCCTTGTGTCAGTGGGTTAGTACAATAATAGGCTGTTATTGTAAATGGTTCAGTTATTGATTGTTATTATTATAATTATTATCATTACTGTTATTATTATTATTTTTTTATTACAACTACAACTATTGTTACTACTTCTACTACTATTATTACTACTACTACTACTACTACTACTACTACTACTACTACTACTACTGTTATTATTGCTGTTATTTTTTTCTCTTCATTTTTCTCTCTTTTGGTTGAGATTGACACAAGGAAAGAAAGTACTTGATATATACCATTTCAGTAACACATGAGACTACCATTCTTGCTCTTGATGTTTAATAGAACATTGTCACAGTTCTCAAGTGCAATTTTGAATAGATTTTACAGTATTTTTGAAGTGAAAGAAAAATGTCCAAAACTCAAAATAAGGCTAACTGAAAATGGTTTTATCCACACACACATACATATACATACATACATACATACATATGTATATGTATATGTATATGTATATGTATATGTATATGTATATGTATATATATATATATATATATATACATATACATATACATATACATATACATATACATATACATATACACATACATACATATATATATGCATATACACATACATACATATATATATATGCATATTGTGGAAGCAGTTGTTTGAGTCTGTTTGATACCATTTGAATTGTGTACATAAGTGTTCAGATTTTTTTTATTGTGTGTGTGTTTTTTTTTTCTCTCTCTCTCTCTCTCTCTCTTTTTTCTTAGTAACTAAAACATTTTGCAAGGCACAAAGGGAAAACACTTAGATATTTATTTATTTATTTATTTATTTATTTATTTATTTATTTATAACTCATTCATGATGGGTATTCCCCATGCTGTACCAAACCACAAGTAGGGTGTCATGTGCAGCTGGCTATTTGAGCAAAAAATTAGAAGTTTGGGAAACATAGATTTTACCCTGTTCCCTAAGAGGCTTAAAAAAAGACTTAAGCTTCTATATGAGAGTCTGGATTTCCTCAGTGACCACAGGTGGGCCCAACCAAGCCAACTGGTGTTTAGAACAACAAAGAACAGGACCAGTGATGCATTTAAGCTTGGTTCACCACTCTGCGATTGTCTTCTATTGCGACGGGGTTAAGAAATATTTGTAGATTTATAGGGAATAAGGTTTGGTTTTATCACAATGATTGGTCAATTTTCGTGTATTATTTATATGTTTATTTTATTCTGTCTTTTTTTGGGGGGGGCAGGGGAGGGGGGAGCAAGTTTTTCGTAGAAGGATTTGGCAAATTTTGTATAATAATGATTCACAAGTAACACTATTAAGATAATAGTATTTATCCTCTCCGCGTGTGTAACAATTATGAATTCAATTACGAAGTAACTGTTAGGCAGGTGAGTGTTCCCTTTCATAAATAGAATGTTTTTATATGGAGTTCATTCAGTGTGAGACAGGCCTGTAATATTGCAAAAGTAAAAGAGTTTGTGAATTCTTCATTATGTAGCAGTGCATTTCGTGTAACTGAATCTATGTCTCTTCATATATTTCATATTTGTATATTCACAATTTTTAGTCGTCATATCTATATAACTACCTAAATGGATCCAGTTACAAGAATGCTTAGTAATTGTCATTGTCACTTTTAATCTTTTGGCTAATTGCATAATTATTTCATTATTATTGTCATCATCATCATTACTCTTATTATTATTATTATTATTATTATTATTATTATTATTATTATTGTTATTGTTATTATTATTACTACTACTATTATTATTGAATGTTACTGTTATTTTTATTATCATTATCATTATCATTATCATTATTATCATAATCACTAAAATTACTATTATTGTCATTACATTGTTATTATATGTTGCTTATTTACATCTTGTAAAAATAGCAAAGTCATTTAAATTTACAAATACAGGCTCTATCCTTTCACAACAAAACTCATTTGTTTTGAAATAGTATCAGTGTGTGTGCTGGCATCGTGAGCTGGTATCTAGATATGATCACATACAACTGCACTTAAGTCCTATATACTACATGTTGACTTGAATTCTCTCTCTCTCTCTCTCTCTCTCTCTCTCTCTCTCTCTCTCTCTCTCTCTCTCTCTCTCTCTCTCTCTCTCTCTCTCTCTCTCTCTCTCTCTCTCTCTCTCCCTTTCTCCCTTTTCTTCTACTTCCCACTCTCCCACTCTCCCTCTCTCCCTTTCTCCTTTTCCTTCTACCTCCCACTCTCCCTCCCTCCCCCTCCCTCTCTTCCTTTCTCTGTTTCTTTCTACCTCCCTCTCTCCCTCCCTCCATATCTACAAAAAAAATTATTTATTGAAAAATTCTAATGTCTTTATCACTCCATCTCCCCCTCTCCTCCCTCTCCTCCATCTCCCTCTCCCTCTCTTCCTCTCCCTCTCCCTCTCCCTCTCCCTCTCCCTCTCCCTCTCCCTCTCTCATATTCACCGAAAAAATTACTTATTATATCTCTCTCTCTCTCTCTCTCTTCCTCTCCCTCTCCTTCTCTCTGTCCCACATCTTTCCACATCCATCTCCCCTTTCTTCTCACCTCTGTCCTTCATGTTTTCCTTCTTTTTAATTATTTTAAAATGTAGTTTCCTAAATATTAAATATCTGAATATAAGGAATAACATTTTATCTACATATCTGCTGCAGAAATATTACCAAAAATCAAATTATATAAATTATATTTCTCTAATGTTTCTGTGGCATAAAAATGGGAGATATTTTTTTTTGTAAAGAGATTTATGTGTATTTGGTAAGTTTCTCTAAATATCTTTAAATTACCACACATTTATTTATGATTTTATATACTGTATATAGGAATATGCTTATACACAAAGTAATTTGATATTTCTTAAAATAAAGAAGAAATATCTCAAAATTTGTTACATAGATTTGGATATGAAAAAAAAATTATGTTTTATATATTCATAATGTCATTTGAATGCATTTACACTTGAAATACTAAAAGGACATTTTTTCAATAAAATCTTTCAAACATTAATGTTTAATGTTTTGTATTCCTTTCCAATTTAACCTTGTATTAATTTTTCCAAAGATTACCTACAAAAATAGAGAATATTGAAGTAAATTTCCAAAATGGTCATTAGTGAAATGAGAAAGAAAATTATTCATTTGTTATATATACTTTCCAAATATCTTGGTCATTAAAGGCACGGCCACACTAGCATTTTATTAGAGGCACGAGCATTTTATCGATAAATAAACCTATGATAATGTCCCATACTCCCAGGATGCGGACTTCATGCTCCAGATATCAGTGACATTAGTTGCGACCACGGAGTATGTAAATTGAAGCTGCGATGTCAGACCTGCATGCATGAGGAAACATTGGATTTGTGCTTGTGTCGTAACTGATATGTGGAAGGAATTTTAACTCAATGCCGAAGGGTGATTTCCCAATGAGCAAGCCCTCTCTCCTTCATTATGACCCGGGCCTCACTCGCAGGGGATCATGTCGTCACCCTAGCGTGCGTGGCATGACCATACATGCCCCCCGGAAAACGGGATTCGCGCACTATCTCATGTGTGCGCATGCTGCCCAGTATATAGTCCAGGCATGCCATGGCATGTGTGTACAAGCCACCCAGTGGCTAAGGGTTAAATATATACAGAATATATATCTCCACATCATAATAAAATCAATTCTATTTCAAAATCTGAGTACTGCATCAGCATCTGTATTTTATCATTATTATAAAGAAACATCTAACAGAACAATAAATCAACCAAGTTCCTATTTTCAAATCAGTTACATTGAATATGATCATCTGTTTCATGAATCTGAAAATCAGGATGCAAATGAACAACAGCAAAACAAATATGTATTTATTATAGATCCTCTTTTAGAAAAATCACATCACACTGATAATTGTTCATGTCTGTCTAATTGTCACTATTATTAGTCTTTTAAAATTTCTGATTATGAAATGAATGTAAATATCTGAGCATTAACACAGGTGTCGCACATATGAAAACTGCATTCACCTTCAACCTAGTTGCAAGAACTGAGAAAAAAAAAAAAACATTAACATACAATAAAAATGACCTACTTACATAAAGAGTATGAAAGTGAACATATAATCATGATGATGAATTTCATGTTCTTCTCCTTTCTATAAAGAGAAGCTGCTTACAATGCAAGTCCATGTGATCCCATTAAAGAATACAACCTTGATTTCTGAGATGCTTTATGCTGTGTGTGGTGTGTGACGGTTAGTGGCGGTTGATGCTTAGTACACAGTCCATGTGATCTGCTTCATCTTGCAGGCCATGAGCTCTCCTAGCAATTCTCTGGATCGTTCTGTGCGGATATGGATATACATCCTTTGAGTAAATTAATGATATAATATAATAAATAAGCACATACAGATAAACAAAATACAGACACACACACTCACTCACACACACACATTCACACTCACTCTCTCTCTCAGACACACACACACATACACATCACTCACACACACACACACACACACACACACACACACACACACACACACACACACACACACACACACACACACACACACACACTCACACACTCTCACTCACACACAGACACACACACACACACACACACACACACACACACACACACACTCACTCACTCACTCACTCACTCACTCACTCACTCACTCACACACACACACACACACACACACACACACACACACACACACACACACACATACACACACACACACACACACACACACACACACACACACACACACACACACACACACACACACACACACATACATACATTCACATACACATACACACATTCACATACACATACACACATTCACACACACATATTTACATTCACACACACATTCACTCATTCACTCACTCACTCGCTCACTCACTCACACTCACATTCACTCTCTCACTCTCTCACTCGCTCACTCACTCACACTCACATTCACTCTCTCACTCTCTCACTCTCACACTCTCTCACACTCTCTCACACTCACTCACTCACCCATATACTCACCCACAGGAATATATAACAATCCAATTAACTTCAATTACCTGACACTCGAGGACAGTGATGGAAACAAAGGATATTGAGACGAGAGCAGCAGAGGCAGAGGGTCTCGATGCTGTCGTCCGTGAGGCGAGCACAGCCATCGACTCGAAGCTCCTGGAGACTGTGGCGCACTCCTCCTCCTACCAGGTGCTGGATCCCTACGTCTGTTACCTGTCGAGATTGGTGCGATGGTTAGTGGAGGTGTATGTGATTTAAATGATGTATGTTAACTTCTTTCTATTTCTCTTTCTCTTTCTCTTTTTCTCCCTCATACTTCTCTCTCCTACTCTATTTCCTTCTCCTTCTCCCTCTCCCTCTCCCTCCCTCTCTCTCCCTCTCTCTATCCTTCTCCCTTTCCCTCTCTCTCTCTCTTCCACAAACTTTCCCTCT